ATGGTCTTCATTAACCCTCGGCGCGCATGCGCAGTGAGGGTTACAGTAGTTGTGTCTGTCTGTCGTCATCTCACTTCTCGCGTGTTCGTTCCTCTCACAAAGGTTACCACCTACTGAACGGGCAATGAAGGTTAGAAATTTCGAACGGTTTTCGCTGAAAACGCTCCGTTGCAAAGCTAGAGCGGGAAAAAGCCAATATGCAAATACACAACGGCTTACTGCGGCATGATCGATACGCGTGCTCTGCGTACCTCGGAGGCACCAGAAGATGCAACGCAGGGCGTGTATCGCCTCTCGCATGCTATCTAGTAGTGTAGTTAGCCCGCGTCAGACTCTGCGCGAGCTGGCAAGAGACCACGAGTAACAGCTAAAACTAAACCCAGCCCATCAATTAGTGGTGTGGCGCATGCGTTTACTTACGCATGCGCGTAACCGTGCGCCGAGGGTTTGTACTTCAGTGCGGTCTGTCTGTGGGTCTGTCTGTCTGTCCGTGTGCCTGTCTGTTACTCTCAATCTCACTTCTCGGGTGTTTGTTCGTCTCACAAAGGACACGTTCTACTTAACGGGCAATGAAGGTCAGAAATTTCGAACGGTTTTCTCTGAAAATGCTCCGTTGCAGAGCTAGAGCGCTTCCGCCATTGTACGGCTAATGCTAGACGGCCATTTTTATCAACGGACGGGAAGGCTTACCATGGTCAGATCGATCCGCGTGCTCTGCGTACCTCAGAGGCACGAGAAGATGCAATGCAGGGCGTGTATCGCCTATTGCATGCTATTTAGTAGTGTAGTTAGCCCGCGTCAGACTCTGCGCGAGCTGGCAAGAGACCCGAGTAACAGCTAAAACTAAACCCAGCCCATCAATTAGTGGTACGGCGCATGCGTTTACTTACGCGTGCGCGTCACAATGCGCCGAGGGTTTGCACTTCAGTGCTTTTCATTTAGAAAGTTGTAATTTCTGTTTCGATGAACTCTCATCATGGTACATCAGTGTACCAAGTTTCATTAAGCAAGTTAGAGGCACAAACACCATTTACAAGTATTGAATTCCCGAGGCTGTTCGTTGCTGTTTAGGTAATTTCTGTTTCGATGAACTCTCATCATTGTACATCAGTGTACCAAGTTTCAATGTTAGAGGACCCGCAATGAGCTAGTTCTAGGCAATAATATAGTTCACAAGTTTTTTTACTGCCTGAGGTGTGTTTGTTGTTGTTTACAACCTTGTAATTTCTGTTTCGATGAACTTTTATCATGGAAAATCAGTGTACCAAGTTTCATTGTTGGAAGACCAACAATAAGCAAGTTATAGGCACAAACATCATTATTAACAAGTATTGATTGCCTGACGCTGTTTCGATGAACTATCATCGTGGTAGCTACATCAGTGTACCAAGTTTCATTGTTAGAGAACCAACCATAATCAAGTTGTAGGCACAAACACATTTTACAAGTTTTTATTGCCTGAGGCTGTTTGTTGTTGTTTACAAACCTATAATGTTTACATTTTGATACTAATGATGGTTGCATGTGTGTACAAAGTTTTATCATTCTGGGTATTTGCTCTACCTAGTTATTAGTCTATATCATAATGTATGGCCTTAGGCTATTTTTGTTGTTGTTTACAAACAAATTAGGACCACTCAGGTTTGGCTTTAGTGAGTATCTTCGTTGTAGTGGGCGTTGGCTCTTTCCTTCCAACATAGCAACCAGAAGGCTTTGAAGAGATTGAAGTGTACCAGGAGCGTAAGTAACTGTACTCGGAGTGCTCGCTCGTAGTAAAAAGCTCTTGCATGCCAGGTCACGGATTCCAATCTCTGTGCAAAGTTTCATCTCCATATCTTAAGTGGTTTTTGAGATACTCTTGTCTAAACTGAACAACAACGAAAATAATTTTGAAAACTGACTTTTTTAAATAACCGATTATGCTATTTAAGCCATTACTTGGATACATGCTCTTTGTGTGACGATACGGATCAGTCTGATGTGTCAAAAGTTGGATCTTATTGAAACTGAAAGTGAAACATGAAAATCTCAAATGTAAGGGCATAATGCAGGACAACCTGTGTCATCCCCATAATTGGCGAGCGGAAGCGAGCTAACCTAGTGGTCAGAACGGCGCGATTTATATACGCGCGTACGTCGTGTAAGTGCGCATGCGCGGATTCGTTACGCGTTTCATCATTTCCAAATATCACACGCTGCCGCGCCGATCGATCAAGCCAGCGTGATAACTCTCCTCGGCATGCGCTGCAATCGCTGCCCCGCTGCCCTATAGCTGTAGCTAGCTAGCAAGCTTAGCATCATCGATTCTGCGATTGATTGGTCTAGAGAAGATGATGCCCTTCGTCGTCGACGAGAAAGGGAAAGAGAACGTCGTACCAGTGAGACTTCTGAGCAAAGAGAGGCTCGTTTTTCTCGACGCCGACTGTGTGATAGGGAACGGGCAAGGCAACGCCTGAGCACGGAAACAGTGGAAGAAAGGGAAGCACGACTAGCGAGAAGTCGTGTACGAGCAAGAGCTACACGTGCTGCGGAATCAGAGGAAACGCAACAGGCCAGGCTCCAACAGATCCGAAGCTATCGAACAAGGCGAATTGCCGTCGAGACAGTCATTGTGTTCTCGCTCCCGCTCGCCAAAAGTGCCATGCATTCGCCTACTAGTTGGCGAGCGGGAGCGAGCCAACCTAGTCGATCGTTGGAGCGGAATTTTCTGTATTTATCGTACGTCGTACGTCGTGTAAGTGCGCATGCGCGGCTTTCCGAAACTACAAATTTTTCACACGCGGTGCCTCGCGATATGCGCCGATCGATCTAGCCAGCTAGAGAACTCTCTTCCATTCGACGGCATGCTCTGCAACCTTCGGTGACTGACCGAGGCTGTACCTCTTCCCAATTTTCATAGTTCCAAGCTGCAACTTGCAAATACGCTAGGATCGCTCGTGCACATACTGCTGCATGCCAGCTGCCTGGTGGACCACGACTGACGAGCTGAAAGCGTAAGGTAAGTACCGTTCTGCCAATGTACAATACGTTATGTAACGGCGACAGGTAGATCTGTCTTGCTTCACGAAAGGAAAGCTGTGCGTTGACGGCACGTTATGCAGCCCGAACATCGCGGGCAAATTCAAAGTTGGGTCCCTCCCGGTCGCCAACAATGTTCAACATTTCCACTAGTTGCCGAATGCCGAGCGCGTTAGCGTGAGGCAACTACTCCGGGTTGTATTCTCGCGATATGCGTACGTACGTACGTACGTGTCGGCAATTAGTCACGCTTAGGAATGTCAATTAGTCACCAAAAGGGTCTAGCTTCCGCCGTGCACGCAGATTCGTAGGAAGTCTGGCTTCGCGCGCAGTCAGTAGAGCGCGCGCACGAGCGGTCTCAGTCGGGCCGTTTACAGCGATTTCTGAGATCTTGCCAACCGCCAAGCGAAAAGCGCGGGATACGCATGCGAGCGGTGTTCTGCTGCTGTGGCCCGGTCCACTCGGAGAGCACGGCAGGCGAAACAACCCAAAGCTGAGTACCGAACAAACAGGGGGAGTTCGAGTACCAAGTAGAGGATGAAAAACTGTGCCGGTTCATTCAGCTTTCAATATGCATTCTCAGCGGGATAATATTTTTTACGCACTTGTCCAGTTTCCTCAAACTTGTCGCGGGTCGATACTCAGATTTATGGCAACTTGCTGGATTGGTAACTGTAGAGCCAACGTCTGCCAAACGATTCTCCAGCGGAGGTCGTCGCTGTACGCGCTACTCCTACTGGTTTCGCACGACGTCATGATGATGGACGGTTGTATATAGCGGTTGTAGCGGTTTTCCACGCGCATGCGCCTACTGGGCCGCGTGTATATACTTCTTGCATGATTACATAACCCATTGGCTGGCAGGCGCGAGGCAAAATATGCGCGTGCGCATTCCTAAGTACTACCGATATATACCTACTGCAAGGGTCGAAGGTTAGTCGCGGGGTGGGGCCGTACACGCGGCGTGTACGGGATTGACGACCAAGAGCTACGGGGGAATATGCATCCGGGTGGCAGACAAATAGCCACTAGGTTATAACAAGCGCCCCGAGGCGTTGTGATCCGTCGCTCTCAAAAGGCCAATCGGCGCTCTAAAAAGGTGAAAAGCAGAAACGCCGCCGCAGTACAAAGTAGTCGGCAGAAAACATTATTCGACCGAAGAAAGGAAAATCATCTGCTGTAAAAGAAAATTGTCGTCGAGAGTAACTGTTCGACGCCCGAAATTCTAACCCAAAACCATGGAACGAAAAGTAAAATGATTTTGGATTGTTAAGCCATAGATACTCTATACTCTATGGTTAAGCTAAGCTTAGTTAGCCCGTTTCTGTTCTTGCAGGGTGCTATAATTTGGTTTGTGCTCTGGTTTCAGTCTTTTTGCTTTGTGACAGTCGGTGAGAGGCTACACTTTCATTACCTACTCTTGTAGTCCAACTTCAAACAACCCGGTGGGCTGCAAGGAAGTCCTTATCACAGCTATATAGGCGTAGTGCATATTGTCTGGCTTCCAAAGTTTACACAACAGTCATTAGTACAATCATTAGTGCAGGATGACGCAGCAGAAATTCAGCATTGTGATTGGCTAGTTGCTAGTAGTTGGACTACAAATCAGTTAACGTCGGCAGTCTCGGCGCGTATACGTTAACTAATACATACCGTTGTATATACGACATAGACACAAGCTGTTACACTTACAAACTATGACACTTGAAAATAAACATAGAGTTAGTGTTCAATTTGTTGGTTGTCTGAGGAAAACATGTAGTAATGCACGTTACAGTCTGTAGGTTCGTTTGGTATAATGGGGGGCCAGGGTGGACAATGAGGAATGAGGTTGTAAACAGCATCCCTGTAGTGGTTGTTCCCAACAGGAAGTATCTGGTGCAAAAGTACATTCTGTGACTTTCCTGTGTAAGGTCTAAGGTTCACACAGCAGTTTGGGAAACATTTTGATGATGCAATAACACACCTATGAGTAATGAATCATCACATAGCTACCCGACTTGTGTAAGATGTGATCATGTCCATTAACCCCCTTTCAGTTACAGGAGAATGTTCTAGGTATATTAGACATGGCCTCAAATGCTGCCTGTACAATGGGAACCATTAAGAATAGATCAGACACCAGGAATTATCAGCTGATGCTCGAGTACAGAGTCTTTCCTGTATGGAACGCCAAATGCGACAAAAATAGTGAAAACGTATTCAAATTGTAAACGCTATCGATCGTCGTTGTGCAGTAATCGTTCGTCGTTGTGCAGCAATCGTTGGTCGTCCGTTCTCCAGCGTTTATTCAAAACCGGTACCAGTCGTGCTGGAGTTCAGATGTAATCGATCGTCGTCATGCGGAAATTGTTGGTCGTTTGTCGTTTGCGCGACATCTATATACTAAGCGCATGCGTCGGGCAGCTTAAGTTCGTCCGGATTTGTGACCTTTGTACCAGGCACGCCTGTGTGGCCGCGCCATCTGCTTTTTTGCAGCCCGATTTCCTTCAAGCAGTCTCTGGCCCTCTTAGCTGACTTGAAGTTAGCCCAATGTCTTCTCTCTCTTCGCTTACACCGCTTGAAGGAAATCGGGCAGCCATGCCATCAAAGTAGACGGCGCGGCCACACACGTGTGCCTAGTAAGAATCGGGACGAACTTTAGCTGTCCTATGCATGCGCTTAGTATTATACGCACGCGGTAACGTGCACACGGCTATTATACCGACCTGCCATTGCTACCAAACGACCAACAATTTCCGCATGACAACGATCGATTACATCTGAACGCGGTTCTATTCCAGCATGACTGGTACCGGTTTTGAATAAACGACGTACGCCTGAGAACGGACGACGAACGATTGCTGCACAACAAAGATCGATAGCGTTTACAATTTCAATACGTTTTCACTATTTTTGTCGCATTTGGCGTTCCATCTTCCTGTTAGGAAACAACCTTGTGGGGGAAGCAGTAGTGTGCATGCAATGGTGTTCAGTGAGTAACAGTATAATGCCATAGTGGAATGATGCGAGTGTTGGCGAACCAATAATAATATTTTAAAGAGAATTACTATCTTTGACTGTTTCACTTCCACGATAAGAGAGTGTGCCAGTCCACACAACTACTGTGGTAGTCTAAGTGGACCTAATGGTTACCAACCGTTGACTTGTGTTGATGGGCAGTGCCGATGTCCTTCTATAACTGCTGCACATGTATTGTTCAATAATGCAGCTGCAACTGGCAGTTGTTTGATAAAACAAGACTCTGCATCTATCGTTGGGACTCCAACTACTGATGGAGACTCTGAGACAACTTACAGCTGTGTGGCATCTGACAACTGTAACTATGAAGTCCATGTCATTGGGAACTATGAGAGTAGTAATGGAAGACATGGGTTCTTTACAGAAAGAGTAGCAGGAGACACAAACGTGATAGTCAGTGTCTCTGGAGAGAGTCCTCGTCCTCTCATACTAGTTCTGACATCCTATGAGCCAGTGAGGTGGAGACTGAGTGTCACTAGTGCAGTCATCATTGACAGAGTAATTCTGGTAATTAAAAAGTCAAGATGTTATTCAGAGTAATCTACTGAGCCTATGTTTGGTGACTCTTCATTTAGAGTGGATACTATGCCAGTACTGTCACTTCAAGCTCCAGTAATGCTATTAGACAAACTGAGACACTGAGGGACCCTGACAACCACTATGGATATGGCACTGATCGTGGAGGTGGAAGAACTGCAGAGCTTCTGCTCTACCTTCAGCAAAGATTTGGTCCTGTTAGTTCATTTAGTGGCAGCTACAGAGCTGATCGATGGGAGCTCAACATTCACAGGACATCAGGTGTGTCCTTTCAACCAAAGCAGATCTGAGTTCATGAACATTGACATTACCTCAGGTTGCAGTTTCAACAGCAATTGTCCGGTGCCCTCGGCTCCAGAGAATGGAGCAGTGAATGTGACTGGAGTCCAGCCAATTGTAGCCAGGTACAGTTGCCATGAGGGACCTCTGTTTGGACCTGAGATGAGGACATGTCTGGAAAGTGGCTGGTCTGGAGAGGAACCTTCCTGCAGAACAGGTATCAATGTTAAATAGCAAATCCCAACGCAAACATTGACATAATTCACTAAAACAGACATGTATCAACTACGAGGTAGAAAGGCAAAGTTACAACAAACAAGTCAACTACAACCAGGACTATTTTACCCTCGGCGCACATGCGCAGCGAGGGTATAAGTCCCAGCGAGGGTATTATACGGGGTCTCTCATTGCATTCTAAACGTTCTCTAGGGCTCTGGTCAATACCAAAGTGTTTTGGTCTTTAGTCTATGTTTGTGTGTATCTTCTTAACGAAATCGACTGGGGCTCTACCTCATCTCTTCCCCTGCCCTCGTGCCCGGCGGTGTGCACCCGTTTTTTTCAGCTGCTATAGACCTGTCCACGTGGGAGGCAAGTGTATCCAGCGGTCAATATCCATGGTGAGAAAGGTAGCCTCTTTGGGGCTGATTGCCGACGCTGGTATCATGATCTGCCGTGGAGTTGGTGGTGGGAGTGGGTGTCGGTCACTCGTGCCTCCAATTAAGTGTCCGTCTACATTCTGTCTTACGCAACTTACAACTAGCTACCACCATTGATGGTGCACATTCAAGAGAATTCTACAACATATCGACCGGGGACAGTGCTAGTTCTGTACTGTACAGCCAGACTTCAGCAGCTGAGCATGCGCGTGGTTTTTTCTACAATTATAGGGATGGCAAGGGGGAAGGGTTTGTGTGTGTGTTACTCTACATCTCACTTCTCAATGTTTCTTCGTCTCACAAAGGATACGACCTACTTAACGGGCAATGAAGGTCAGAAATTTGGAACGGTTTACTCCGAAACTGCTCCGTTGCAAAGCTGGAGCGAAAAAGCCAATATGCAGATACACAACGGACGGGGATGGCTTACCGCGGACGGGATGGCTTACCACGGTATGATCGATCCGCGTGCTGTGCGTACCTCGGAGTCACCGGAAGATGTAACGCAGGTCGTGTATCGCCTCTCGCATGCTATCTAGTAGTGTAGTTAGCCCGCGTCAGACTCTGGGCGAGCTGGGAAGAGACCACGCGTAACAGTAAACCCAGCCCATCAATAATAGTGGTACCGCGCATGCGTTTACTTACGCGTGCGCGTCACAATGCGCCGAGGGTTTGCACTTATTTTTTCTGAGCTGCACTAGGTCGGATTTGAGCCCACGACAATCTGCAGGCGAGCGCTCTACCAACTGAGCTACTAGGGCAATTCAGCTGGTAGGAGTTCAAATCGGTCAAATCTTACAACACAGGCAAACCTCAAACCAGTGTGCTACGGCACAGTATACTCTCACTCAGTGTGTAGGAGCAGACCAGGGTAATTGGACGCCCAACTCCAAACTGAGTACAGTATTGCATGTGTCAAGTTCGAGGTAGTAAGGCAAAGGCACTACAGACAAATCCACAACACATGTAGAAAATACCATGTGATGCCACATGTCCATGTTGTGTGATAAGGAAAAGTAGAGGATGCTAAACCTGGACGAAAAAATGGTACTTACACATTTTATAATGCACTTAGATTTTGAAAAACCGTTCAGCCACTTTGTTAACGTGTCGACTGAGATAGTGATTAATTGCTACAGTGCTTTAAAGGTTTCGGTGAACCATTTCTGCGCTGATCACACACTAAGACATGCCAAGTTATTCAAAGTGATACTGCAATCTCACTGTGCTATTTTTGTTGTTGCTTCTGTTGCCTCTGTGTCAGGTACTTCACCTCCCAATTCAGACACCTCAACTTCGAGTTCTTCCAGTGGTAAGACATGTAGCTCTCTGTTGTTTTTCCATGGATGTTAAGTATGTTCTTCTACTCTCTCCCAGGTGTTAGCATAGGTATGGCAATTGCTGTTTTGGTGCTCGTCGGGACTGCCGTTCTAGTGGTAGCAAGGGTGTGGTTCCTACAACACAGGCATCGTAGCCTCTCGAGAGTCTCTCACCAACGGTCGTCACCTTCAGTGTCCACTATTCCAGCTAATGAGACAACTATTTTTCACCCTCCTCTCTCAACTGAGACTAGGTTGGTGGAGGAATCCATGTTCTCAGCCGTATCTGACAAGCCGCCAGACTATCATCAGGCAGTCAATCTCCCATCTGCTCACTCTCCTCCTTCTTATTCTTCCCAATGAGATTATACACCATGAATATTATGGGACAGCATACAGATGTATACACTTGAAAAAAATTTTTCCCGCATGGTATTTCTCACACACAACATAATATTTTGGTCGCATGTGACGATACTTCACGCTATAATGTTTACAATGATGGTCTGAGTCTCTTCTTTAGAACATCTGAAGCATGTAAAAAAGGATTCGTTTTGTATCCAAAAGTATCGACCTTTAACATTTCTTTTACTCAAGATTATCGGCTTGACAATGGAAAAATATTCAGGCTTTTCGGACCTTGAATTTATACAGGAATTTGACAACTACTGCTGAGAGAGTCTGTGCATACTGAGATGTGTGGATCTCGATATCTTCCACATTCTCATGAATAACAAGTCCCTTCTCTGCCATCTGATGGATTATGGTCTTCACATTCAGAAACTGGTAGAGCTCACTGAGGTTCAGCTGTAGCTACGACCTTTGTACTGTAAATTTCTCTCTCTGCTTCTACAAACTTTTCACCTTTTAAGTATATATTGCAAGAGTAATAAAATTAAGCACAATTTAAAAATACATATAATAATTATACCTGATGCAAATGCCAAATTTGGAAGAGAAATGCTATGCTGCAATGCAATGGTATACTCATCACATACATACAACCTATAAAATCATACCTTTAGTTTCTGTGAGCTTTGAATTGCCATCTCACGTTTAGGCCCAGGTTCTGCCTCAAAAATACTCTGCAAATGATTTGTGATAATACGCTTCAATTCTGCAATTTTACCCAGAAGCTCAGTCTGGTCATATTCTACCTCAAACGTTTCCTTACGTAGCTGTTCAACGCATTTCTCCAGTTTACCTATTTCACTGTGAGCTTGCTTGCACTTTTGCTCCAAAAGTTTTACTTCCATTCTTTAAATGAAAGTTTCATTAGCATACTCTTCTTTCTTTTGGCCTTCTTCTAGCTGTTGCTCCTTCTCCTCAACCAGTTGGCTTTTCTGTACATTCATTACTGAAATTTCAGCATCAAGTTTACTCGTATCCTTCTTGTAGAAAATGCCTCCCCAAGAACTCCGCTTTTGCTGATTGAGAGCTTTCGTCTCTCTTTCAAGCTTACATATTTCTAGATCTCGCATTGCTAATACAGATCATTGGAATCTGTTGATGGTACTGGGACTGATGCTCGATATAATTTTGGGCAGACATCAACTCAACTAGCTGCTGGCAGCGATTTCCTGCTGTGGGCCTCTCCCTTTTACTATCTTGGATACATTGTAAAGCAAACTGTCGCAGTGGATGAGTGAGGTATACTCCATGAAGATTTTTTTGCGCCGCTCAAGTTTTGGTACACGAAGGATTGGTTCTTTGTACTTTGGATCCTGAACAACAGTGTGTGGGTCCGTTGGGGTGGGAAACTTATTAACCCTCGGCGCGCATGCGCAGCGAGGGTTGCTGTAGTGGTTCTGTGTGTGTGTGTTTGGTATGGGTTAAGAAGAGAAAGGAGGGGGAGAGAATTGTGGGGAACGAGGTGTAGTGACAGAGACTGGGGGGGACTTGTCGGCGTCATCAAAGCGCCGGACCACCAGACATACACTCAGGCTGTGCATGGAGTTACAAACCACAGTGTGCTTCCACATAAGTACACGTGCTACACTACCCTATCCCCACCCCTAACAGCTAGCAAACCCTGTCTCCTTTGTCTGTCGTTTATCTAATGCACCAGTCATCAGGGGAGCTCCACAGCAGATCATCGTGTAGGTCACAGGTTTCGGTCCCTTTAATCTCCCGACCTGTGCCTCACTACCACTGGGGCGGGACCACTCCCACGTAATGGAGTCTGGTATAGACACACTATTGTCAGTTTGTCTTGCTAAGCTCTTAGTTTGTCATGGTATAGTTTTGTCCGTTTTTTGTATGTCCTATTTTAGGTTGTGACAGTAAACAAAAGTAGTATGCATGCGCAGGAAGTTTACCTACACCCTTATTGCCTTGTTGTGACAAGATTAAACTAGATACACATACCTGCTGGCATCTTTTTTCACCCACCGCGTGGAGTAGTGGTAATCTAATTATTGCGTGGGTGGCTGAGCATGCGCATGGTTTTTTACTACAATAATGGTGATGCAAAGGGGATTTTTGACTCTGTGTGTGTGTGTGTGTGTGTGTGTGTGTGTGTGTGTGTGTGTGTGTGTGTGTGTGATAAAAAAACCATGGTAGTGGGGGAGGGCCAGGGCCATCTCTCACTGCCGTGGGTGTGGCCCTGGCCCCCATTGAGTTTTAAGTGCATAAGCATTTACTTGGAATCATCGAAATTTTGTGAGTATTTTCTGTGCGCATGAGAGTGATTGGGATTAAAGTGTGTTGTATTGACTAGTTGCAAATGTGTGTTTTAAGTAGTTATGTGCTACCTACATGAGGAGGCAGCTGAGGTTTGTAGGGGTGTGTGCCTGAGGCTGTGACCGGCATGTCTGATGGTCCTTAGCGAGACTGCAGCCCCACTCCGAAGAGCTTGTCGCCACTGGGTAGACGACTGGGATACCCCCGCCCAACCAGCTCCGTGGCACCACACCACCTGGTTCCGTGCAAGCACGTGTGTGTTTGGTATGGGTTAAGAAGAGAAAGGAGGGGGAGAGAATTGTGGGGAACGAGGTGTAGTGACAGAGACTGGGGGGGACTTGTCGGCGTCATCAAAGCGCCGGACCACCAGACATACACTCAGGCTGTGCATGGAGTTACAAACCACAGTGTGCTTCCACATAAGTACACGTGCTACACTACCCTATCCCCACCCCTAACAGCTAGCAAACCCTGTCTCCTTTGTCTGTCGTTTATCTAATGCACCAGTCATCAGGGGAGCTCCACAGCAGATCATCGTGTAGGTCACAGGTTTCGGTCCCTTTAATCTCCCGACCTGTGCCTCACTACCACTGGGGCGGGACCACTCCCACGTAATGGAGTCTGGTATAGACACACTATTGTCAGTTTGTCTTGCTAAGCTCTTAGTTTGTCATGGTATAGTTTTGTCCGTTTTTTGTATGTCCTATTTTAGGTTGTGACAGTAAACAAAAGTAGTATGCATGCGCAGGAAGTTTACCTACACCCTTATTGCCTTGTTGTGACAAGATTAAACTAGATACACATACCTGCTGGCATCTTTTTTCACCCACCGCGTGGAGTAGTGGTAATCTAATTATTGCGTGGGTGGCTGAGCATGCGCATGGTTTTTTACTACAATAATGGTGATGCAAAGGGGATTTTTGACTCTGTGTGTGTGTGTGTGTGTGTGTGTGTGTGTGTGTGTGTGTGTGTGTGTGTTACTCTCAATCTCACTTCTCGGGTGTTTGTTCGTCTCACAAAGGATACGACCTACTTAAGGAGCTACTATTGTGTGTAGCTGCAATCCCGCTCATTGCGAATTTTCTTTTGGGGTTCCACGCGACACACCGCAGTGGCGGCTCCTAAGAGTTTCTTTCTACTGGCGGCGTCCTGCGCGTGTGCGCCGCCGCGTGAGGAAGGTGGGTGGAGCTGGTCGGTATGTTAGTGCGCGTTGGTACTGCAATCAATGTAGAAACAGAGCTCTCTAGTGGCTATGATAGTAAACAAACCTACATATATGGGTTGAACGACTAAACGTACTTGTCTTTGATCTTTTAGAGGTAGCTACCGAGGGCGGAAAGAAGTGTCCGCTGTCGCTTTGCCATCAATCCACGTGTTCGCACGTGCGCACTAGGTTTATGAGTGTCGCGCTTTCTAGCTCGGTGCAGTACGCGGGAGAAGGCAACGCGGAATGCGATTCTATAGCTTAGTGTGCGCGACTGTGGCGGCCATCCAGATGCGCGGGGTGAGGGTGCGGCGAGTTTGCGTTTCTACCTGCGCACAGACGGATCTTTGAGTAGTTTCCGGAAACCCCATAAACCCCCAAGGAACCGCCACTTCACCGAGTCTATCTTGTCCGCACTGCTTCTACTATTGTGCTGGAGTCGCCACAGTCAAAAGTAAAATCATACATCCATCCTACATCTTTACTCACAACCTCAACTGTGATTTGTTATATACCTATGCCAATAACGAGTGCCTACACATTCTTATGTAGACATAGTTTAAGAAAGAAAGATGTAGGGATGGGTGTATGATTTTTGTTTTCAGCTGAAGCATCTTTCTTGTGTTATCCTTTTTCATAATTTACGCCATCCCTACATTCACTTTGATTTTGAAGAAATGATTTTTCCTCTTGTTACTTCTCAATCCATCCGTCCAAAGGAGGTTCTAGTATCCTTTGATGTTGTATCTCTCTTCATTAACGTTCCGGTTGATCTAGCTGTTGCTCAACGTAAACTCTCTACCGATGACACTTTGCCGTCGAGAACCAACTCGTGTATTGATGAGCTTGTTCTCCTCCGAAATCGATACGACATACCTGTTATTTCGTGGCCGATTCATCGGGCAACTTTTGGTACTGCTATGGGCTCCCCTGTATGTTTTTCAGTTGCCAACTTAGTTATGGAAGATGTTGAGGTGCATGCCTTGGCCACCAGCTTCCATACTAGAAGAGATGTTATGTTGATGATGTCTGTACCATCCTTCCAAGAGACAGGGTGGATCATTTACTTGGTCATATCAATTACATAGAAGGTATATAGTATAAAATTCACTGTTGAGCTCGAGAGTGATGGTGTGCTTCCCTTCCTGGACGTAAAGGTTTGCCGCACATCAGATGGTTCCTGACTACAAGTGTGCATAGGAAGTCAACCCACACTGATAAGTATCTTGACTTTGCGTCTCACCACCCTCTCTCACATAAAAGATCTTCCGTCCACATGGTTGCAAGGGCAGCTACACATTCTTGACATTGACAAGGTCAATGAAACCAGTCATGCCTGCTCTGCATTACATTTGAATGGCTACCCGAAGTCCTTCATCATTACTTCGTCTCGGCCACCATCAGCTAATTACATCTTATCCCCCTGAGTGGAAAGCATTATGCAGAATGTTTATGGGGTATATTGGTCCCCTTACAAGTGAGTGTGTTTCCGACCACACCAAACTTTAAGACAACTTCTACTGAGACCGAAAGACCTAATCCCAGATATCCTGAGATTCAGCGCTGTTTATCTATAAGATCCCGTGTGCTGTGTGCTCAATGGTGTATATTGGACAGATCGGTTGCAGACTGAACCAGCGCCTTTGTGAACATAAGAGAGGAGTGAAGTCTGCAGATTTCAACTCTTCTGCCCTCACTCAACATGCATGGTCTGCTGGCCATCCTGTGGACTGGGAGAATGTGTCTGTTGTTAGCTAACAGGTGCTCAGATTTCCCCTCAAGGCTTGTTAATGCTATCGGGTCCACCACAGCAACACAACAGAGACTCTGGCACTCTATCTGTCATGTATGACAATGTACTGGAGCTATACTGATCCCAACCTCCTCCTTCTTTTGCCATCTGCATTATGTAATGTTACTACTCTCCTTCTCCTTTCTCATTCTTTTATCACCTCCCAATAGCCCTGTCTGTATTTTCATTGATGATGGTGGCTGCATAGCCATCGAAACGTATGAATTTTAGTTTTACATCTATTTTGGCTTGTGTAGCTAATTCAACTATGGTTTTCACTACAAACAGGAAAATCGCGTCGTTCAGACCACAAGGTTAGCTTGCTCCTGCTTGCCAAATACACTAGGTTCATCGGATTTTGATCGATCAAAACTTCAATAATTATTGTGGAGAATACAAGAGCAAGATTTATTGGGATTCCTAGCCCACGTGATAGCTGCATAATATGCAAAATCCTTCACTGCAGCACAACAGTATTCACAACTTGATGGTTGTTCATAACCATCAAATCATACCACCGAACCTCTAGTGAGCACTACGTGCTATTGTATTGAGAATAAATTCCCATTTTACATCTGTATAGGTCCCAGATACTCAGAGCAGGAAAGTAACACCTGTCTGTGCGCACTATCATCACTCTCCAGAGTTCAGATGTAGCTGAGTAATTTAGATTCACATCCTGTCAAAATTTGTATAAAGTCTTTTACAACACATTCTTATACTGCTGACAGATTTTTAAAAAGCCACCCTGGCTTCAGTACGGTGGCCTATAGATGCCATACCGATTTCCATTCCGTTTTCTATTCAAACTTCTGTTTTCCATTCCAAATTCCGTTTATACGTTCCACATTCCGTGTTTCTCACCGCGGCCATGCACTAGCCAAGGGAGGACGACTACTAAGGGGGCGACCGCGGGCGACGCGTACACCGACCGCTGCGCTGCTGTTGGTGACCCACGCCATGATTGGTAAAGCTCATGCAATCCGCTCCAGCGCACAGGGTTTAAGGTAAGGGTAGTGGTATGCTAACTCGCGTCTGCCTTGGTATGCACCCAGATTTCGAGACGCTAACCACTCTCTCACCCCTAGTTGCGAGCTCGCAGGTTAGAAAACCGGAAATCGAGAACAGCACTTGGAACGCATCGCTGGAAATTGGAAAATGGAATGGATAACGGAATGAAGATCGGGCATGGCACCTATCGGCCACCGTACTTGAGCGGAAGCGAACAAAGCTACCTCAATGCGGAAACTTCGGGCGCTGTAATGTTCCCCTTTCAGCACTTACAGAGGTAACATAACCACTTCTTCTTGGTATTTATAAAACTTTTGTCAATCTTTACACAAGAATCGATGTGATACCATTCCCGGCATGCCCCACACTGGATGAATTAAGCTCCACGTGTTAGCGGCCTTCTACAACTGCAGTATACATTGAATTCTTCTATTCTTTTAATCTTCTTCTTGACCGGCCTCCCTTTTATAATTGGAAAATTTTTCATTTCCCCCCTCTCAAAACAATGGAGTAGGTGTGACCGCATCAAACTCTGATCGAAATTATACACCCCAGGATGTAAGCCGTTCAAAAGTGCAGTCACAAATACAATGGCAAAAAGGCCACAGTCTGCCTGACCTGACTGCATTTGAACATTGTTGTAGTGAAGTCGAATTGTGTTTTTCTTTGTCATTAGCAAGTTTGATATTTGTACCTTGCTATGTTCAGGGCAATGACAGTACATACTGTCAAACACATTGACATCAGGATGTTGCGTTCCAATTGTCGATACCACATGCCAGTGGCCCTCCCCAGTGTGGATTATTTGTACGAATTCCCCTGTTTCCACTTGAAATGAATTTGTGAGCCCAAAGTTGACATTTTGAAACCTCCAACCAGTGCATTTCCCCTTTTTAATAGTAACTGTGCAGCATTTATTATGGAGTCCGATAGCCATGCATTGGAACTTTTCAAGATTGCTTTGTCGGACTGAGTCATATTAAGAGATGGAATCCATGACGTTGGCCACTCACTTTCGCCTGATTGAAAATAATCTATCACAATATGATTATATAATTATTATACTTACCCGTTTTTCTCTTTGCTTCATTACCCACTCAATCAGCTGATCCATTTCAGTATATATAATGAAGTTTATGGTGCTTTTGGCCATAGACTGTTATTGCTGATTGAGATACACTTCTTTCAAACTCATCAAGGAGGGCATTACTTGAGAGAAGAATGCAATCACGATCATTCATAGCCCTTTTGAACTCATCAAACTCAGAGTGTTGTTCACTATTCACAATTACAAAGTCCATGACCTGCCTCAAATCTGGTCTTTTGTTGTATTTTCTATATTCAATCCACAAAGCCACATCTGTATCGATGCTGAGGACATGTTCTCCAGCTTGAAGGTGTTCTGAAAGCTGAAAACAGTTGGAAAAGAACCTAAATGTTGGCCATAACTTTGCAATGCTTACTTAGTCTAACTTGCATAATCCTCACCCTCCTTACTTCATGGTGCACATGGCTAAGCCGTGCACCAAGAGATAGGATCTAGCAAGCAAGACTAACTTTCGCTATGCTAAGAAGCCCTAAACGAACTTATTGAAAGGGCCATGATGCTTTGTGCTATCTACATCACAATCTCCATCTTCTGACGAGGAGTATATGTACTTGTCAGCCCCTGTTCTCCACAACCTCAGGATACTTGGAGAAAAGAGCAGATCCTCATCTATCTCTCTTTTCTCTGCAATTCAAAATTACAACAATAATGATAATAAAAAGGACCTAACAATGTGATATGAATTCTTTTCTTCACCTCTGCTTGTTGATGTAGAGGGCAGCAAACAATTTGATCACCATCATCATCACCATCAATAATTGGATTGGGAAGTGAGGTACCTATTGACATCCGTTTCGCTTATGCGTTAACCAACGCACCTAACGCAAATGCGAAAAGAGGCTCTGCACATAATGCCTTCGACTTTCTGCTAAAGTACAAGTGTGAGGATGGTCTGAGAGACGTTTCTTCCTACTTTAGTCCCAGGATTCAGGTAACATTAGCTTCTTATTGCTTAGATTGACATCCGTTTCGCATCTTTGAGTGTGACTTAGCCGTGTCACAATGTGCAAATGTGAAACGAGGCTCTGCAGGATAAGGAACTGCCGCATGCGGTTACACGTTCCGATACCGGATGGCCGTGCGGCCTTAATTGCGCATTCCAATCCCGTTTCGCTCTTGCGTGGGTTTCGCTTTTGCAGCCTAACACGCCCCCCCCCCTGGCGCCGATGGTCCCCCTAGTCTATAGTTTCTTCGTTTGTTTCTTTGGTACAAATAAGTTGCCTATAAGCCCTCGCTGCTATAGCTAGTACATTGGCTCGATGCTATCAACCAGCAATCGGTCGTCGATCTGCCCCGCCCCATTCTTTCTGCGCCGTAAATGCTGCTCGTGGGGTTAAAAGTTGTTTTTCAACATTTTATTGCAAAACCACATGGAATCTAAGTTTTTCAACACAAGGCTATTTGTTGTAATACACAAATCGTGAAAAACCATTCACTGCAGGTATCGCACTGTATCATTTTCCCGCCCTCTGTAGAGTAACGCGCGCAGGCGACGACGTGAATGCAGCAGCGAAGTGAAACGGGGGAAGACGTAGCTGTGTAGCAGTTACCGTCGGAAAACACATTGTGACACGGCTAAGTCACACTCAAAGATGCTAACATAATTATAACAGAGACACGGGTTCGCTTGCTACTTGTGCATATTTCGTGTGGGGACCAGGTGTGGCACGAGGGGACCAATTACGGCTGCCACGGACGTTCCGGGGGGGACCGGTTTTGGCGGGGGACCATCGACGGCGTGACAGACCAATATCCACTTGGTTATAAAAAGCGCACCGAGGCGTTGTGATCTGTCGCTCTTAAAAGGCCAATCGGCGCTCTATAAATGTGAAAAGCAGAAACGCCGCCGCATTACAAAGTAGTCGACATTAATCGAGAAAGAAAATCATCTAAGAAAATCGTCGTCGAGAATATAACGGTTCGACGCCTGAAAATTTAACTCAAAAACCATGGAACGAAAAGTAAAATGATTTTGTATTGTTAAGTTAGTTAACCCGTTTCTGTTCTTGCAGGTGCTATAATTTGGTTTGTGCTGTGGTTTCAGTCTTTATGCTTTGCGACAATCGGTAAGGGGCTACACTTACATTATTACCTACTCATACCGTTGTACAATATAGACACATTTAGATGACACTTGAAAAAAAAACATAGAGTTAGTGTTCAATTGTTGGTTGTCTGAGGAAAACATGTATGTAGTAGTGCAGGTTACAGTCTGTAGGTTCGTTTGGGTATATATAATTGGGGGCCAGGGTGGACAAATGAGGAATGAGGTTGTAAACAGCATCCCTGTAGTGGTTGCTCCCAACAGGAAGTGTCTGGTGCAAAAGTGCATTCTATGGCTTTCATGTGTAAGGTTTAAAAGGTTCACACAGCAGTTCCTATGACTCACATCACATAGCTACCTGACCTTGTGTAAGGTGTGATCATGTCTAGTCACCCCCTTACACAGGAATTATTAGCTGATGCTCTATAAGTACACAGTATTTCCTGTTGGGAAACAACCTTGTGGGGGAGGTATATATATAGTAGTGTGCATGCAATGGTGTTCAGTGTATAATATGCTGAGTGAGCTATGGTAGAATGCTAGGCATTGTTGCGAGTGTTAGCGAACCAATAATAATTTTTGAAAGAGAATTACTATCTTTGACTGTTTGAGTTCTGCGATAAGAGAGTGTGCCAATCCACACAACTACTGTCAGTGGTGGTCTAAGAGGACCAAATGGTTACCAACAGTTGACTTGTGTGGATGGCCAGTACCAATGTCCTGGAAATGCCTTGCACAGCGCAACTTTATCTCATGCAAATTGTTGTGTGAGATAAAGTGGCGCCGTATATGTTGGGCTTAAGAAAACTAAGAGGGCTAGCTAATCCAGAGGTTTATGAGCATGTATAATAAATAAGGGCTAGCTATCATGGATTATTTATCCACAGTATAAATCTGTTTTTCAATAATGCAGCTGCAACTGGCAGTTGTTTGATAAAACAAGACTCTGCATCTATCGTTGGGACTCCAACTACTGATGGAGACTCTGAGACAACTTACAGCTGTGTGGCATCTGACAACTGTAACTATGAAGTCCATGTCATTGGGAACTATGAGAGCAGTAATGGAAGACATGGGTTCTTTACTGACAGAGTAGCAGGAGACACGGACGTTATAGTCAGTGTCTCTGGAGAGAGTCCTCGTCCTCTCATAATAGTCCTGACATCCTATGAACCAGTGAGGTGGAGACTGAGTGTCACTAGTGGAGTCATCATCGACAGAGTCATTCTGGTAATTAAAAAGTCAAGACGTTATTTAGAGTAATCTACTGAGCCTATATTTGGTTACTCTTCATTTAGAGTGGATACTATGCCAGTACTGTCACTTCAAGCCCCAGTAATGCTATTAGACAAACAGAGACTCTGAGGGACCCTGACAACCACTATGGATATGGCACTGATCTTGGAAGTGGAGGAACTGCAGAGCTTCTGCTCTACCTCCAACAAAGATTTGGTCCTGTCACTTCATTCAGTGGCAGCTACAGAGCTGATCGATGGGAGCTTAACATTCACAGGACATCAGGTGTGTGCTTTCAAACCAAAGCAGATCTGTGTTCCTAAACATTGACATTACCTCAGGTTGCAGTTTCAACAACGTGACTCGCAATTGTCCTGTGCCCTCTGCTCCAGAGAATGGAGAAGTGAATGTGACTGGAGTCCAGCCAATTGTGACCAAGTACAGTTGCCATGAGGGAGCTCTGGTTGGACCTCAGATGAGAACATGTCTGGATAATGGCTCCTGGTCTGGAGAAGAACCTTCTTGCACGACTGGTAAACATCATTACTATTGGTAGTGCCTAATGATGTGCTCTTTTGTGCAATATTCTACATACTGAGTTAGAATATACTGTGCCATTTTAGCACTTTTTGTGGTTTGCCTTTGTGTTGTACTGTGTTAAAGATTTAAACCCCTACCTGCTGAGTTGGTAGAGCGGTCAGCCTAGACTGCTGGGTTCGGATATAAGGCAGCTCTTTTTTCCTTAAAATAAAAGAGCTGTCCTGGGTGTAGTTGACTTGTTTCTTGTGCCTTTGCCTTTCTACGTCGTAGTTAACTTAACACATGCAAACACATCCATCTTTATAATTTTATGTTAGATACAAGCTTGCGTATACCCTTTAGGTAACGTGTGCACATTAGCTCCAATTCAGGAGTGCCTTGGGCCCAGAAAATACTGTGGAAGTCTCCCCGGCCCAAACAATGGCTATACTGACTTGACCTGTGGTGAAGACAATTATTGCAGGTGTCCTGGGATTGACTACTATGACCGCTGCACCTGCTTACGTATGTTCACGTAACACCTCATTGAGGCATCTAGCTGCTGGGTATATACACTCAGTGCTCATTGTATGTATTACTGCCAACGAAATTATTGAATAGTGCGAAATGTCTCGGTTGATGCTATAAAGTTTTATTAAAGGATCTTGCTGGCAGCTACCACACTCACAACTATTTCCATTCCATAACTACTCACACCCTTTTTTGTGATTAGAAACTAATCAAGCTTGAGTTCAAATGTGTATTAAACTGCAGACATGCCAAATGTCTGGGTGCTAGGCCCACAATTTTGTTCACCCTGCAAATCATTGCATTCAGAAAATATTATGTGACTTGAAGAAAAAGGCAAATGATAAGTAAATGTGACACAAAGAGGGCTAAGTGTTTTGTACAACGATCAAAATCACCGCAAACATGAATCTAGCTGCAGAGCTTATAGAAGCAGTGTATATAATTATAATAAAAATAATAATAATAATAATGTATTTATCCTTGAAATTTAGGAGAAGTAGTATCCTTCACTAATGAGTACTCTGCTGTGATCGATTGGTAGAATAAGCAAGTGGCACTGTGGTGGCATTAGTAGTGAGTATAATTATACTGTCTATGTCTACCCTCTAAATAAACAAATGATGCATGTTTGTGTAGCATAAATGCAACCACAGATTTCCATGACTCACTTGTTTATTCTACCTTCTTTGATATGTGTCACAGAAAGTACATTGAGAGTACTGACTACTGAAGACTACTAAGTCCACCACAGATTTCAAAGGCTCTGGGCCTTTGAAAAAACGTTGGTGGCCTTGGCCTTCAGTAGTGACAGATGTCAAAGAAAATAGAGTAAACAAGTAAGTCATTAGCATCTGTGGTGGCATTAATATTATGCTACACAACATGCTTTGCTGCAAGACAAATGAGTTTCCGGGTGGAAATGAAAGCGCAGCAAAACCAGAGAGTATATTTCCCTTTTAAAAAGTTGTAAGCCTGCGAAATAATAGTTGCATGCTCTCTTACATGGTAGTTACAATGCACAAACCTATTTCAAAATATTAAAGCAAGCCATTAGAGTGGAAAACGTGCATTACTTAGTTATAACACAGATCATTCTTACCGTTTGCAGCTCATATTGGCAGTTGTCTGATAGAAAAAAGCTCAGACTCTAGTGGTGTCATCATCGACAGAGTCATTCTGGTAATTAAAAAGTCAAGACGTTATTTAGAGTAATCTACTGAGCCTATATTTGGTTACTCTTCATTTAGAGTGGATACTATGCCAGTACTGTCACTTCAAGCCGCAGTAATGCTATTAGACAAACAGAGACTCTGAGGGACCCTGACAACCACTATGGATATGGCACTGATCTTGGAGGTGGAGGAACTGGTCCTGTCACTTCATTTAGTGGCAGCTACAGAGCTGATCGATGGGAGCTCAACATTCACAGGACATCAGGTGTGTTCTTTTAAACCAAAGCAGACCTGTGTTCATAAACATTGACATTACCTCAGGTTGCAGTTTCAACAACATGATTCGCAATTGTCCTGTGCCCTCTGCTCCAGAGAATGGAGCAGCGAATGTTACTGGAGTCCAGCCAATTGTGGCCAAGTACAGTTGCCATGAGGGAACTCTGGTTGGACCTGAGATACGGACATGTCTGGAAAGTGGCTGGTCTGGAGAGGAACCTTCCTGTAGAACAGGTATCAATATTGTTGGATTTGCAAACGCCCATTCAAACATCGAGATAATACACTCAAACAGACACGTGTCAACTATGAGGTAGAAAGGCAAAGGCACAACAAACAAGTCAACTACACCCAGGACAGCTCTTATTTTTTCAGAGCTGCCCTAGGTGGGATTCGAATCCACGACAATCTGCAGGTGAGCGCTCTACCAACTAGGGCAATTCAGCTTGTAGGAGTTCAAATCTTACAACACAACACAACACAAGGCAAACCTCAAACCACTGTGCTGTGGCAGAGTATACTCTCACTGAGTATGTAGGAGCAGACCGAGGTAATTAGATGCCCAACTCAAAAATGAGTATTGCATGTGTCAAGTACGAGGTATATAGTAAGGCAAAGGCACTACAAACAAGTCAACTACACATGTAGCTACATGTTTTGTGATGAGGAAAAGTAGCTAGATGATGCTGAACCTGGATGGGGGGGAAATGGCAGCTACTTACATGTTTCATAAAGCAGTTAGATTTTTGAAAAACCGTTCGGCCACTTTTGTTAACGTGTAGTCCAAATAAGGTGATATCTGAAGCAATTGGCTTCTGCGTTTAGATTGGAAGTTTCACGTTTTATTATGTTAACGGTGCCCATTAATAGACTATCTATGCTACATGATCTTTTTTTTCTAGGCAGCCTATACACAACCAACCTGTATAATTGGCGAGCCAACCTAGTCGTTCGTTCGAGCGGATTTTTACGTCCGTGTCCGTACGTCGTGTAAATGCGCATGCGCGCCTTCGTTACGCGCTTCTTTCTCCATTTTTACACATATTATTTTTCGCACGCTGCCTCGCGATATGCGCCGATCGATCTAGCCAGCGAGAGAACTCTCCTCCATTCGACGGCATTCGCTGCAAACTTCGGTGACTGACCGAGGCTGTACCTCTTCCCAATCTTCACGGTTCGAAGGTGCAACTTGGAAATAAGCTAGGATTGCTCGTGCAGATACTGCTGCATGCCAGCTGCCTGGTGGACCACGACAGACGAGCTGAAAGCGTAAGGTAAGTACTGTTCTGCTCACCTGCTCACCGTTCTGCCAATATACAGTACGCATGTAACGGCGACAGGTAGATCTGTCTTGCTTCACGAAAGGAAAGCTGTGCGCTGACGGCACGTTATGCAGCCGGAACATCGCGGGCAAATCCCAAGTTGGATCGCTCCCGCTCGCCAACAATGTTAAACATTCTTCTAGTATATTGCTTTAGCCAATATCTCCTGTCCAATTTAACTCCACTGAATCGTTTTATGTGGTGTCTGTTGGCCGGTCCTCTGTTATAGAGTGCAATCACATTGCACTTGTTTACAGCCACCTCCATCAAAAGGTAGCTACCCTATGTCCCAATAGAGTCCGATGACCTCCATACAATACTAAGCATTGTATCGGCACCTGCATTGAAGAAACAGCATCCTATATATTATGGCAAGCAAATGCAGTATGTCAATGCCTTGCATGGAAATTTCTTGTCATACCTTGCAAGCTGGGGAGTCCCCAGGGTTACGGTAGTCGTTCTGTCTGTCTGTGTGTCGACGCTTATTCTGGCACTACAGGCTTCGAGGTTGCCAATGAGCGATACCAACGGCTTCAGAACTACGCGAACCTGAAAATGAACGCGTAGTGTGCTGAGGGTTTGCACTTTAGTGCTTTTCATTGCTATACTTAGTGCTTAAAAGGTTTCGGTGAACCATTTCTGCGCCGATCATATCATTATTTCACAACTAAGATATGGCATGCTATTGAAGTGATATTGTAATCTCACTGTGCTATTAATTGATAGCTACCCGTGCCTCCTCTAACTCCAACCCACTCTTTTACACATCCACTTTCTTTGTCATGCTCCATCAAGAATTAAGCACTTAATAATTATTGTAGTATCATGTGATGTGCCTGCCATTGGTTATAAATTATAATAGTTATGTTTATCACAATGCCTTGCAGGATTTGTCTGCACCGCTACTGCAATTCGTGACTGTGCAGGACCTAGCAACTACTGTGGCAGTCTTCCAAGCCCCAGTGACATATATGGTTATGCTGACTTAACCTGTGAAGAAAATCATTGCAGATGTTCAGCAATGGAACACTATGACTACTGCACTTGCTTACGTATGTTATGAACCGAGCTTTCTTATGAAATTGTGCATAATGAGCTGATGGTAGCTACAGCTCCTTTTGCTAGTTGTTTAGAAAAGTAGAGTGTAGCTACTATATTATAGTAAGAGTCATTATCAACTGCCAGGTAGCTATGTACATTCAGATGCAATGGTTTGCAGACCAGAAGAGATAAAAACTAGGCCGCACCATAGACTAAGGCTCCCAGGTTGCTATGCATCTGCAGGTATTACCATAGCCCAATATATATTGTGTTTTTTCCTGTCATATTTTTATGCATACACACAGCTCATATTGGCAGTTGTCTGATAGAGAAGGACTCCGAGAATAGAGTTGGGGATCCAACATCTGTGGGGATTCCTGAGACTACTTACAGCTGCGTGGCTTTTGATAACTGCCAGTATGATGTGCATGTCATTGGGAACTATGAAAGTAGTAATGGACGACATGGCTTCTTTGTAACGAGAGTAGCAGGGGACACAGGCGTGGTAATCACAGTCTCTGGAGACAGTCCTCGTCCTCTCGTACTAGTTCTGACATCTATGAACCAGTGAGGTGGAGACTGAGTGTCACTAGTGGAGTCACCATCGACAGAGTCATTCTGGTAAATAGCCAAACAGCATAATATAGCAATGAAAAATACTTTACTACTCCTTCCGTTGATGTTAACCTTGCCCATAGCTACACTGCTATCTTGTTTGAGCATGCATATATCATATATGCACTTATCAGCTAGTTTTTGAACCAAAAAAACATGTTACTCATTTATGACTTATACCAGAGTTCCTACTACAACAGCACAGTCAGCTCAAGCACTGCTAGTGCTATCAGACACACTGAAATCCTAAGCCGCTCAGAGGGAATCAGGGGGTATGGATCGGATATAGGAGGTGGAAAGACAGCAGACCTATTGTTGTATCTTCAAGAGAGGTTTGGTCCTGTAACATCATTCAGTGGTAGCTACAGAGCAAGTCGATGGGACCTCAACATCAAGAGGAGAGCAGGTTTGTATAATTTTTTTGGTTATTTGTACCTTAGTGCAGTAGCTATCTTATGTACATAGAATGTGGTTGGGCCAGTACGGCCTGCGAAAACCTCTCCCCGCCAGCAAATAGAAGAGTGGATATCTCCAGTTTGGAGCCAGAGACTACAGTCAGATACACTTGTAATGTCGGGTTTCAGCTCTCAGGGAACAGAGTAAGGACCTGTCTGGAATCAGGACTATGGTCTGGGCAGGCACCAAGCTGCATTGTACAATCATGTTCTTCCCTTTCTCCTCCACCCAATGGAAATGTTGAATTCCCTGACACTACTGTTTCTTCAATTTCCACTTACACATGTCATGTAGGGTTCACACTGGCTGGCAATGCAAGAAGAAAATGTATTGGAGCAGGAAAATGGTCTGGAGAGGCACCGAATTGCACCAAACACTCGTGCCCTCCTCTCTCTCCTCCTTCCAATGGGAAAGTGATGTTTTCTGACACAAGACCTTTTTCAAGCACCACTTATACATGTGATGTAGGATTTCAACTAATCGGCAGTGCAAGAAGGATCTGTACCAGGGCTCTTACATGGTCTGAGGAGGACCCAATCTGCATAAAACTGAGATGTCCAACTCTGTTGCCACCCTCTAATGGACATGTTTCCCTCGTGGAACTTGGTCCCCTGCAAGCTTCGTACACTTGTGACTCAGTCTTGTTGGCCAGTCTGTACGCACTTGTGAACAGTCTGGAAGGTGGTCGGGAGAACCTCCAGTCTGTGTTACCTCTGTGTCGTATACTTCACCTCCCAAATCAGACACCTCAACTTCAAGTTCTTCCAGTGGTAAGACATGTAGCTCTCTGTTGTTTTTCCATGGATGTTAAGTATGTTCTTCTACTCTCTCCCAGGTGTTAGCATAGGTGTGGCAATTGCTGTTTTGGTGCTCGTCGGGACTACCGTTCTAGTGGTAGCAAGGGTGTGGTTCCTATTACACAGGCATCGTAGCCTCTCGAGAGTCTCTCACCAACGGTCGTCACCTTCAGTGCCCACTATTCCAGCTAATGAGACAACTATTTCTCACCCTCCTCTCTCAACTGAGACTAGGTTGGCAGAGGAATCCATGTTCTCAGCCGTATCTGACAAGCCGCCAGACTATCATAAGGCAGTCAATCTCCCATCTGCTGACTGTCCTCCTTCTTATTCTTCCCAATGAGATTATACACCATACATATTATGGGACAACATATGATGTACTTGAAATTTTTTTTTGCATAACAATATTATGTTCGCATGTGACGATACTTACGCTATTCATCTAATTTTTACAATGATGGTCTGAGTCTCTTCTTTAGAACATCTGAAAGCATGTAAAAAGGATTCGTTGTGTATCCAAAAGTATCGACCTTTAATATTGCTTTTACTCAAGATTATCGGCTTGACAATGCAAAAATATTCAGGCTTTTCGGACTTTGAATTTATACAGGAATTTAAACTCTGTATGGCTTGGTGTGAGGTACCGAGTCTGATGTAGTAGTTCTGTAGTTAGTCTCATGCCCAGACCCACGTGCTCCCATATGAATGAGGGTCTGGTATATAATATCAGATTTGTTGGTTGTGCTGAGTCAGCATGTTTCGAAAACGGGAAACCCAATCAGATTGCCGGATTTAAAACTATCATGTGACATGAAGGCGATCTGACTGGTTCTGCACATGCACAGCGCAACAGAATGGAAGCGTTTCACTGGGTAATCTCTGTCGTTCCACCTCTGGATCTCCCAAGTCCCCCAGCCATTGGCTGAGGCTAACTTCACCTTGGGACCAGACAAGGTCAGTTCAGAGCAGTTTATAGAAACTGTTAATGCTGCCTATGATGAAGTGGTGCATTGGAAACGTAATATCTTATCTGTTCCATCTGGGAAGGTGGGAAAAGCGTTTGTTAATTAATGAGCTGGCCTGGTTATATCGATCATATGCTGTGTTCTTCACTCAAATGCATTGCTTTAACAGTGGCAATGATTGATTATACCTCCACTTCTATCGCAAATGCCTACCCCAAAATCTAAGACACATGAGAATTCAGCTTGCTTAGAACGTTGACTCAAAATAATGATAGAAAGCTGGGGATGATGAATCCCTACTTCATAAAGGTAGAACTATTCAGAGTAGGCTGCCTAAAACAAGTCTACATCATCAAATCAGGAGTCCTTGGCTAGAGGTTATGCAAAGCTGATGTTTCAGGGCAAACAAAGGAAGCTCTTTGCCTAATCACAAAACAGAATGTTGGCGGTGTGTTACATCTGGATTGTATCATTGGTAGCAGAACGGATGATGCTTCATGCTCTGTACATGATGCTTTATTGACGAAACATCCACCTGGCCAACCTGTCTTCACAAATGTATTGTATATACAACAGAACCACCTACAGTCCATCCTGTTGTGTTTGAAGCCATAGATGCGACCACAATCAAGGCGGCAGCATTATGTACAGATGGCGCAGCCGGTCCATCTGGCATTGATCCCCGAGGCTGGAGACGACTGTATGCATCATTTCACTCTGCCTCAGCCCATTTATGTCTCTGGCTTTACTTGCTAGGAGGCTTTGCACGGAATTTGTCAACTCAGATGGTCTTGCCAATCCTGGGTTGTCGGCTGATCGCTCTTTGACAAGAATCCATGAGTTCCCCCCATCGGGATTGGGGAAATACCTCGACGTATTGTTGCCAAAGCAGTATTGTCAGTTATTGGTGGGGATATTCCAGAAGTGGCGGGTTCTATTCAACTCTGCTAGGGGCAGACATCTGGCTTAGATGCAGCTGTGCATGCCATGAACAATGCTTATCATGACGATGATGTCAAAGCAGTGCCCCTAGTTGATGCTAGCAATGCATTCTTCTGCCTTAATCATCGGGTTTCTCTTCGTAACACCTCTGCCCCCCATTGGCTACAATTCATATCAACAAGGAAACCTTCCAATCATTTTATGGATGGACTTTTACTACTCTCTTTGGAAGGAACCACACTGGGTGACCCTCTTGGCATGCCTATGTATGCAATTGATATTTGTCCACTAATCCACAAAGTGGAATGTGATGTGAAGGAGGTTTGGAACACTGATGATGCTACTGCTGCTGGCCAATTGAAAAATATATTATACGTCAATGGTGGAACAACTTGGTCATCTATGGTCCTGACTTTGGATGTTTCGTCAATCCCTCCAAAACTTGTCGTTAAGGAAAGTCACCATCTGGATGCAATAGCATATTTTGCAGATGTTACTATCACCACAGCGGGTAAATCACATCTGGGGGCTGCTTTGGGAACAGAGATATTTGTCCATGAGTTTGTCAATGGAAAATTACAGCAACGGGTTGAAGAGATCAAGCACCTTTCCTCAACCACTCAAACTCAGCCTCATGCTGCCTACCCTGCTTTCGTCCATGTCTTGTCCACTAAATGGACTTACCTCTCCAGAACTATTCCCAACATAGAAGAGTTGGTTCAGCCACTGGAGGATGCAATCCGGCACCATTTTATACCAGTCTTGACTAGGAGAGCTCCCCCAAGCAAGAAAGAAATCTGTCTGTATTACCTTGCCGCCTTGGGGGAACTGGCATTTGCAATCCTTCAAAAGGTGCCGGTTCTAAATATTCTGCTTAGTTTTGTCATTTTAAGATGTACACCTGTTTTTATTTTATTAGTAACAACATGACTGATAGGTTGAATGAAAGTGCAAACCCTCGGCGAACTGCGCATGCGCGATACTGCTAATTGATGGGCTGGGCTATTTGTATGCGTTTACTCGTGGTCTCCCGCTAGTAGCTCGCGGAGAGTCTGACACGATCTAGCTACAGTAGTAGATAGCATGCGGGAGTCGATACATGCCATTCGTTGTGACTTCCTGAGCCCCCAAAGTACACAGAGCGAGCGGATCAAGTCGCGGTGAGCCCAGTGCTAATATGTAATTGGCTTGTTTTCACGCCATATCTCTCGAACGCAGTCGTTTCAGGAAAACCGCCCTTTTCTTTTTCAGGCTCGCGTAGTTTTGAAGCCTCTGGTATCGCTAATTGGCCGACTCGTAGCCTGTAGTGCCAGAATAAGCGTCGACACACAGACAGACAGACAGACAAACCAACCCTCGCACCGCATGCGCGCCGAGGGTTAATTATTACGTAAGTACGCATGCTGATTCAGCACACCAGGGCCATGCACTGTGCCGAGGAGAGAAAGTTTTCTTCCCACAGCGCTACCTGCCAAGCCGTTGGCATCACTTTCATCCCCCTCGCCATAGAGTCCCTTGGTTGCGTGAGTGACATGGCTGCTCACACGATCTCCTAGGCCGTCTTTTGGGCCAGCGTTCGGGGATCTTCCCGGTTGAATCGACGCGTCATCTCTACCAAAGGCTCACAATATCTCTCTGGAGGGGAAATAGGATATCCGGGAAATGCATCCGCCTGGATTCACCGTTGTCCACAACTCGGTCCCTCTTTAGATTGTGTAATTTGACTTGCCTCTTTGTGTTGTTTTGTGTATTTTTTTGTTGTTGTTTTGTTTTTTGTCCTTTTTTTTCTGTTACATGTTTTTGTTCCTTATCCTACAGTATGTTCTTTAAAAAAAGCACACCTTTTACTCTTTCGCGCTAGTCTCGTGCCCAGACCCCGCCCTCAAGAGAGGAAAGGGTCTGGTGACTATTGAGCGTTTTCTTGGTTGTGCTGACTTGACAGTCTTACTTTGAGACACCGACGCAGATTGCAGGATTTGCCACGTGCGTTAAATATCGCATGATGTTATGTAATTGATCGTAACGCAGCTACGTGGATTCTGCGTGTCCACGAACGAAACAGGCTTTTCTGTGCATGCACTCGACAATGATGAGTCAGCACAACCAAGAAAACGCTCAATAGTCACCAGACCCTTTTCCTCTCACGAGGGCAGGGTCTGGGCACGAGACTACTTTCGTGCGGGAGAGTATATACGTAAGGGGGTCCATGGGCACGAGATTATGCCTACCCTCACGTGATGTTTAACCAAATTTCAGGAACTTTCTACGTAGCTAACAACCTATCCTCTCCACCCTGACTTGTTCTACTCTAGTACGTCAAGTGCGGATGTCAGCTTTTCCTCGTCATTATGATGTGATAGGGGTAATAGTCGAGTTGCATGATGTGGAATAGTGCTGGGAAACTTCCATATCAACATTGCTTCCATAATGGCAAGCCTGTAGGATTAGTGTAGCAATCGTTCTATATTATACCAGAGCGAAGCATTATGCAGAGGCACATCAAAATGTTGAGCTTTATTGCGGTGCACTCGCGCGTAACTATAGTTTTCCTCCGTGTGCAAGTTACGCGCCCACGCACGCCCGTATAATATTAATATTAATATAACCGTGGGTTGAAAACTGGGGAAGGGGGGAGGGGAGGCTTCAGCCCCCCAAGCCCCCACAGCGCCTACACCCTTGTTATGGCATGAAGTATGTACACAAATCGGCCTTCAGTAACAATTAAATGTCTGATGGATTGGGTGATGTTCAAGGAGGGTCAGTTTGCCCACAATCTAATCAAAAGTTACATAACCGAACATAATGGTGATATACATACATTGGCGATACACTACAATAAACGGTAATACAGTTACCATACACCCATACAGACCATATCTAGAACCTACACTCGTACAGCACAACATGCAGGTTAATGAACAATACATACAGACACACAGAATGAGTCTGAGTCAAACAAACAGAGAGGGTGGGCCAGCCCATTCTTCTGACATAGCATCACAATACAGCTGCAGTTGTGTTTCCAGACCATTCTCCAGAAGTCAGCCACTGTCTCTGTCAGAGGTCCCTGGGCTGCTATGTATGTCTTCTTCTGCTTGTAGCCCTTGTAATGGAGGATCGGTCACATGATCAGTGGGCGTGGCTGCAGGACGTATATACGTCAATGAAGGAGGCATTGATGTAATCAGAGCCTGGCAGGGGGCCATGATGCAGCCTCACACGACCGGGTTCATCTGAAAACAGAGTGTTGAGTTTGGAAACTGCTTGTGTGTGCTATGATAAACACATGCTTCCAAACTGAAAGTTTGTCTCCGTCTATTACCAAACAGCGTGGCATTCGACGAGAAACGTTGACAATGTATATAAACAGTAGTGTTGGCATTTCTATTCATCCAAAGCCTCTTGCTCGTTCACCAAGTTGGGGGCAAAGGAAACCGAGGCAATAATGGAAGATATCCACAAAAGTCCCATACAGAGCTAGCAGACAAACAACAACAACACCATCTGGAGTTATGTTATTAGAGAAGGAGAGATGGTTTATCACGGTTGACCCCAGTGGTAAATATCACACTCTGTGTGTGTGTGTGTGAATCAGTGGTAGGTGTGTGCA